AATTAGCCCGGGCGTGGTGGTGCTCTGCCTATAATCCCAGCTACTCTGGAGGCTTGGAGGTGGGAGAATCCCTTGAACCTGGGATGTCGAGGTTGCAGTTGAGCCAAGATCATGCCACGTGCACTCCAGCCTGGCCGACAGATGCGAGACTCTGTCTCAAAAATATATATATACATACAAAATTAGCCGTGCATGGTGGCTCTTGCCGTGTAATCCAGCTACTCCAGCAGCTGGAGACAGGAGAATTTGCTTAAACCCGGAGGTCGAGGTTGCAGGAGACCGAGATCGGCGCACTGCACTCCATCCCTGGGCGACAGGCAAGAATCCGTCTCAAAAAAAAAAAAGAAAGAAGAAAGAGAGGAGGAGGCCTAGACCTGGAGGTCTGACCCTCCCCCCTCAGCAGCCCTCCTCTGCCCCCTTTCCGCTCGCTCTCCCCTGCAGTGGCGAAGGACCCGGGCCGCGGACCGAGAGGGACGCTGTGCTGCGACATAGGTGTGTGTTTCTGTTCATCCGCCGCTGGCCGCCATCTCAGGCTGGTTGGCCTGCGCGTGGGCCCGAGCGACACTTCCGGCTCCACAGCCAGCTGGGGGCCGTGGGGTCTTCTGCCCTCACCATCGCTTTTCACCATCTATGTCCTCTTGGACGCTGGTGAGGGCTGCGGCTTTGCAGCGTGCATCTGGAGCTCCGCCGCTGGAGCAGCAGGGCCAGGGATTTGACCCTGGCTTTGTTGGGTACGGGGCTCCCTGCTGCCTTTGTCTAGGCCCTGGGTGGCAAGAGCGCTGTCTGAGGTCACCCTGCGTGCTTCATGGCGAGGCTTCAGATTCCAAATGTGACAAAGGTCTAGGGAATCCCTGAGCTAGGTGTAAACCTTGACCTGAGTGCAGGAACCCCCATCCATGAACCCCCAAGATTAGGAGCGAGGCAGAGAGGAGCAAATGCCTGAGAGAGAGATTGGGGGAGAACAAATAAATGGGGAAATAGATGTAGATTAAGAAATTGAGGCTGGGCACAGTGGCTCACCCCTCTAATCCCAGCACTTCGGGAGGCCAAGACAGGTGGATCACCTGAGGTCAGGAGTTCGAGACCAGCCTGACCAACATGGAGAAACCCCGTCTCTACTAAAATGCCTTCAGCCGTCCTTTGAGTATGAGATACTGGCACGACACACCCAGCTTTTGTATTTTTATAGAAGACCAGGGTTTCACCAAGCCACTTGGTGAGCGGCTGGGCCGAACCGTCCTGACCTCGTTGATCCACCCACTCTCCGGCCTCCCAAAGTGCGTGGGTTACAGGTGTTGCAGCCCACCCGCACCCTGGCCAACTTTTTTGTATTTTAGTAAAGCAAACGGGTTTTTTCACCCATTTTGCTCAGCGGCTACGTCTTGAACTCCCTGACCATCGAAGTGCATATCACCGCTCCAGCCTCCCCAAACGTGCGCTGGGATACAGTGTAAACCACTGCGATCCACCTTTTTTCCTCTTTTTCTTTTACTAATATTATGTAATTTTTCTGTTGAGCACAGTCTGGCTGTATCACTCAGGCTGAAGTCATGGCTGTAATCCCAGTCACTGCACTCCTCTGCCTCACAAGTGCTCAAGCGATCTACCAGCCTGTCCAGCCCTCCAGAGTACTGAGACTGCCAGGCCATGCTCACCGACCACATCGGACCGCGACAAACCTCTTTGTTTTTGTAGCAGATGGGGTTGTTTCCGGGTGTACCGAACTGAGCTCAAGCAATCTGCCTGCCTCAGCCACTCGCCCCCAAAGTCGGGATTTACAGGCGTGGCCACCCGCACTTGACTCTATTGCATTATTATTCTATTTATCTTATCTTACTTTATTTATTTTAAACGGAGTTCTAACACTCTGTCACCAGGCTGGCATGCAGTCGGCTTGATTCCAGCTCACCACAACCTCTCCTCCTGGTTTCAAGCGATTCTCCTGCCCTCAGCCTCCCTGAACCACGCTGGGACTACAGGCGCGCGCCACAACACCCCAGCTAATTTTTTATATTTTTACTGGACATGGGTTTCACCATGTTGGCCAGATGGTCTCCGATGCTCCTGCCTCATGATCCGCCCAGCCTCGGCCTTTCCAAAGTTGCTGGTGATTAACACGGCCGGAGCCACTGCGCATGGCCTACCACTAATTTTACCATTTTTTGTAGAGACGGAACACTCTTGGCTTTGTCGCCTCATCCTGGTCTTGAACCCTCATTGCTTCACATATTCTGCCTCGGCCGCCAGTGGCTAGATTGCAGTGTTTAACAGCCCTGGGCCTGGTTCACTCTCCAATGTTGTTCATCTCAGTTCCTCTCTCATCATTCCCCTTCCAATTCTTTTTCTTTTTTTTCCTTTTTTTTTTTTTTTTTTTTTAAGCAGAATCTCCACCTGTTGCCCGGGCTGGAGCTACATGGCACAATCTGCGGCTCATTGCAACCTCCTGGCTCTGGGTTCCAAGCAATGCTCCTATCTCAGCCTCCCTAGTGGCTGGATGACAGGTGCGTGCCCACCACACCAGACTAATGGTGTTTTGTCAATTCTTAGTAGAGATGGGGTTTCACCATTGTTGGCCCAAGGACTGGTCCTCAATACCCTGACCTCAAGGAATAGCGGCCACACTCAGCTCCCAAGGGAGGCGTGGGGAGATTACAGGCATGAGGCCAGCTGCATCCAGGGCTTTTCCCTTTCAATTTCTTGTTTGTTGGTTTGGTTTGTTTGTTTGTGTTTGGTCTTTATTGAGACAGAAGTCTCGCTCTGTCCAAGCACCAGCGCTGGAGCAGTGGCGCACTCTCAGCTCGCTGCAACCTCGCCTCTCAGGTTCAAGTGATTCTCCTGCCTGCAGACTCCCGACGAGCTGGGAATTACACGGCCCCCCACTCACGCACAGCTAAACTTTGTGTACTTTTTAGCAGAGACAGATTTCGACCATGTTGGGCCAGGCTGGGTCTGGAACTCCTCCGGCTCAGGTAATCCACCTGCAGCTTTGGCCTCCCCAAAGTGCGTGGGATTATTAAACGGAGTGAGCCACTGTGCCTCGGGATTTCCCTTTCAATTCTTCTTTCTTTCTTTTCTTTTCTTTTTTTTTTTTTGAGACGAAGTTTCGCTCATTAACACAGGCTAGAGGGCAATGGCACGATCCGCCTTACAGCAACTTCCGCCTCCTGGGTTCAAACATCATTTCCTGCTGCGAGCTCCCCGAGTACTGGGATACAGGCATGCACCACCTGACACCGGCTAAATCTTTGGTA